TTTGCCATTGATAAAGATGCGCAAACAAAACTAGGGTTTCATTTACGTTTTCTCTAAAGCTTCTTATCTTTTTTTTTTTTTTTTTTTTTTTTTTTTTTGCTTTTTGTTTTTGTTGGCCGCACAAAGCCTTTGGTTTGTCTACAGTTGATGAGTAATTTGCAGGCATTTTTCTATGCCAAGTTGGCTTTTTTTTTAGCCGTTGCCTTTGCCTCTGAAATAGTTTCGGTTTCGTTTTCAGTTTCAGTTTCAGTTTTTCAACTTGCCATGAAATATGAAACAACTTTATTTCATTGTCAGTGGGTCTATGCGGTTGGAAAAACCGGCTAAGCTGGAGCTGGGCCCGAAAAAAAAAAAACAGCCTAGCGCGCTAGAAATAAAAAACAACAACAAAATGGTAACGAAACGAAACCAAACGAAAGTGAAAGTAGGCCAAACTCATCAGCGTGGCCAAGAGAGGCTTCACTGTGCTGCTGCTGCTGTGTGTGTGTGCGTTAGTGTGAGTGTGTTTTGTAGGCCTAAATCCAAAAACCGTTTGCACTCGTAACTCTACCTGTAACGTCCGTCCCACTCCAACAATGTGGCCCTCTCGCTTTTTCGCGCATAGATTGAAACCTCGCGTTTTAGCTTTAGCGTCTTTCGTTTTCATTTCACTTTCGTTTTCTGTTGCCGCATCAAAGAAAAGTGAAAATGATGCAGTGAAAATGTTGTACAGACGTTGCGTTGATTTAGTCATTAAATGCTGTTGCCAGCTCGCCTGCAACTGGGAAAGTGCCATAAAATTCGAATGGATTTCATATATACTACATATACACAGTCTAAATTGAGTGGAACGTTATTTTTGCATATTTACATAACTATAAATCTATGTATTTATGTATATACTGAAAGCTGTTGGTTTTCATTCATTCACTCGGAGACTTTAGCTACTCTGTTTAAAATTTTCAAAGACTTAAAATTTAACCAAAATGTTTTTATTTATTTACTCGCTTCTAACCAAAAATAAGTTTGATTTTAATGCACTCAATCAATCACATGATTTGGTTATTTTCATCTATTTAGAGTATCTCCCACGCTGGCAGTAAACCCATAAATGCCCATCTAAATATATAAAGACACGCGCATTTGGTGCAAATCAAATCGTAAAAAATCGCCACAAATTTCCACTCGTCGCTCAGTTTAACCGATATATAAAAAAAGTCATAAAATCAATTTCAATCAAAAAGGCGAAAAACAAAAACACAGCAAAATAACAGCGAGAAACAAACAAGCGAAACGCCAAATGCCAAAACATACTTGAGAAATTATGAGCGGCAATAGAAATATGCCGAAATATGCCACAAAAAGCCAAGAAAAAAGAAGAAATGAAGCAAATTGGAAGCTATAAATCAAAGACCAAATATGCGCAAAAATATTTGAGAATAAGTAAGAGTAAGCTCCGATAGGGAGTGCCCAACTAAGAGATGCTCTAACAAATGCTCTCAATTATCATTGCAAATGATACTGTTAAACATTTTCATTTCCCTGAATTGCATAAATATATTATTGATAATATTTACTCATCATCATGATGATTATTATCATCTTGATGATCAACATTCTGAGTATCACTTAGAATGATAATGATAAACAATATACATTTTATAATGATGATGACGATGATGTAATATCACCATATTTACTCATCATCATAATGATGATGATCAATTAGAATAAGAATGATGAGGAACATAATTATCAATGACGATGATTATTATTATCATTATCATACAATGATGATGATAATGATGATGAGTAAATATGGTAATATTACTCATCATCATTATCATCATCATTATCATCATCATCGTAATAAGTATTTGTATTTGAGTTTCAATTGTAGTAATAATCATAAGGATTATAGACTTCAAAGATGATGATGATAATTCATATTATCATTTGCAATGATGACGATTAACATTTTTGAATGAGAATAACTATTATTATTCTCAGGATTATCATTCTCTGAATCATTATTATTGACATTAACAATCATATGATGATGAGTTATATTATCGTTTACATTACTGATAATTTATATTAATATAAT